GGGGGGTTGGCCCGAGCCTTCCTTGACTCCAGCGTGCCCCGCTCCATCGCCCAGCCATGCTGCGTTGCTTGCTCCAACGAGCCGGCCACCTCCCCAACTTGGAGAAGGGGGACCGGCAAAGCGACCCGGTGGCCAGCTTGACTTTTCGAGGTGAGGGGACCCCAAATTTGGGCTGGGGGGGAGTAGGGTTATTGCTTTCTCAGGCTCTTGTCTGCTTTTGAAGCCTTCTTTAGCAAAGCCCGGCTTCTGCGGGGCGACCGGCCAGGACGTACGTCCGGGCTTTGCTAAATTCACTCTTTATCCTAAATCCTTCCAAAATTCAATCTTTATCCTAAATCCTTGCTGGGTTGTGATAATGGTGATGCTGGGTGATGGCAATGCCGGGCCGTGGCGGTGGAGATGCCGCGCGATGGTGATGCTGGACCGTGGCAATGGAGACACTAGGCCATGGCGATGGAGATGCCGGGTGATGGTGATGGAGATGCTGGGACATGGCGATGGCAATGCTGGGCCATGGTGGTGGAGATGCTGGGTTGTGATAATGGTGATGCTGGGTGATGGCAATGCCGGGCCGTGGCGGTGGAGATGCCGCGCGATGGTGATGCTGGACCGTGGCAATGGAGACACTAGGCCATGGCGATGGAGATGCCGGGTGATGGTGATGGAGATGCTGGGACATGGCGATGGCAATGCTGGGCCATGGTGGTGGAGATGCTGGGTTGTGATAATGGTGATGCTGGGTGATGGCAATGCCGGGCCGTGGCGGTGGAGATGCCGCGCGATGGTGATGCTGGACCGTGGCAATGGAGACACTAGGCCATGGCGATGGAGATGCCGGGTGATGGTGATGGAGATGCTGGGACATGGCGATGGCAATGCTGGGCCATGGTGGTGGAGATGCTGGGTTGTGATAATGGTGATGCTGGGTGATGGCAATGCCGGGCCGTGGCGGTGGAGATGCCGCGCGATGGTGATGCTGGACCGTGGCAATGGAGACACTAGGCCATGGCGATGGAGATGCCGGGTGATGGTGATGGAGATGCTGGGACATGGCGATGGCAATGCTGGGCCATGGTGGTGGAGATGCTGGGTTGTGATAATGGTGATGCTGGGTGATGGCAATGCCGGGCCGTGGCGGTGGAGATGCCGCGCGATGGTGATGCTGGACCGTGGCAATGGAGACACTAGGCCATGGCGATGGAGATGCCGGGTGATGGTGATGGAGATGCTGGGACATGGCGATGGCAATGCTGGGCCATGGTGGTGGAGATGCTGGGTTGTGATAATGGTGATGCTGGGTGATGGCAATGCCGGGCCGTGGCGGTGGAGATGCCGCGCGATGGTGATGCTGGACCGTGGCAATGGAGACACTAGGCCATGGCGATGGAGATGCCGGGTGATGGTGATGGAGATGCTGGGACATGGCGATGGCAATGCTGGGCCATGGTGGTGGAGATGCTGGGTTGTGATAATGGTGATGCTGGGTGATGGCAATGCCGGGCCGTGGCGGTGGAGATGCCGCGCGATGGTGATGCTGGACCGTGGCAATGGAGACACTAGGCCATGGCGATGGAGATGCCGGGTGATGGTGATGGAGATGCTGGGACATGGCGATGGCAATGCTGGGCCATGGTGGTGGAGATGCTGGGTTGTGATAATGGTGATGCTGGGTGATGGCAATGCCGGGCCGTGGCGGTGGAGATGCCGCGCGATGGTGATGCTGGACCGTGGCAATGGAGACACTAGGCCATGGCGATGGAGATGCCGGGTGATGGTGATGGAGATGCTGGGACATGGCGATGGCAATGCTGGGCCATGGTGGTGGAGATGCTGGGTTGTGATAATGGTGATGCTGGGTGATGGCAATGCCGGGCCGTGGCGGTGGAGATGCCGCGCGATGGTGATGCTGGACCGTGGCAATGGAGACACTAGGCCATGGCGATGGAGATGCCGGGTGATGGTGATGGAGATGCTGGGACATGGCGATGGCAATGCTGGGCCATGGTGGTGGAGATGCTGGGTTGTGATAATGGTGATGCTGGGTGATGGCAATGCCGGGCCGTGGCGGTGGAGATGCCGCGCGATGGTGATGCTGGACCGTGGCAATGGAGACACTAGGCCATGGCGATGGAGATGCCGGGTGATGGTGATGGAGATGCTGGGACATGGCGATGGCAATGCTGGGCCATGGTGGTGGAGATGCTGGGTTGTGATAATGGTGATGCTGGGTGATGGCAATGCCGGGCCGTGGCGGTGGAGATGCCGCGCGATGGCGATGCTGGACCGTGGCAATGGAGACACTAGGCCATGGCGATGGAGATGCCGGGTGATGGTGATGGAGATGCTGGGACATGGCGATGGCAATGCTGGGCCATGGTGGTGGAGATGCTGGGTTGTGATAATGGTGATGCTGGGTGATGGCAATGCCGGGCCGTGGCGGTGGAGATGCCGCGCGATGGTGATGCTGGACCGTGGCAATGGAGACATTAGGCCACGGCGATGGAGATGCCGGGTGATGGTGATGGAGATGCTGGGACATGGCGATGGCAATGCTGGGCCATGGTGGTGGAGATGCTGGGTTGTGATAATGGTGATGCTGGGTGATGGCAATGCCGGGCCGTGGCGGTGGAGATGCCGCGCGATGGTGATGCTGGACCGTGGCAATGGAGACACTAGGCCATGGCGATGGAGATGCCGGGTGATGGTGATGGAGATGCTGGGACATGGCGATGGCAATATGCCAGTCCGTGGCGATGGCGATGCGGGGCTGTGGTGATGGCGATGCCGGGCGGTGGTGATGGAGATGTCAGGCGATGGCAACGGAGATGCTGGGTGATGGAGATGGAGATGCCAATACTGGGTGATGGCAATGGTGATGCTGGGCCATGACAATGGCGATGCCAGGCGATGGAGATGCTGGGCCATGGCGTTGGCGATGATGATGCCGGGTTGTGGTGATGGTGATGTTGGGCCATGGCAATGGAGATGCCAGGCTGTGGCAATGGCGATGCCGGGTGATGGCGATGGCGATGCTGGGTGATGGCAATGCTGGCCTGTGGCGGTGCCAGGCCATGGTGATGGCGATGCTGGACCATGGCGATGGAGACACTGGGCCATGGTGATGGCGATGCTGGGCGATGGTGATGCTGGGTCATGGTGATGGTGGTTGATGGCAATGGAGATGCTGGGCGATGGAGATGCCGGGCGATGGAGATGCTGGGCCGTGGCGATGGCGATGCTGGTTGATGGCGATGGAGATGCTGGGCCATGGTGATGCCGGGCCATGGCGATGGCGGTGCTGGTTGATGGCGATGCTGATTGATGGCGATGGAGATGCCGGGTGATGGAGACACTGGGCCATGGTGATGGCGATACTGGGCCATGGTGATGCTGGGTCGTGGTGATGGTGATGCTGGTTGATGGCGATGGAGACACTGGGCCATGGTGATGGCGATGCTGGGCCATGGTGATGCTGGGCTGTGGCAATGGCGATGCTGGTTGATGGTGATGGAGATGCCGGGTGATGGAGACACTGGGCCATGGTGATAGCGATACTGGGTGATGGTGATGCTGGGTTGTGGTGATGGTGATGCTGGTTGATGGCGATGGAGACACTGGGCCATGGTGATGGCGATGCTGGGCCATGGTGATGCTGGGCTGTGGCAATGGCGATGCTGGTTGATGGTGATGGAGATGCCGGGTGATGGAGACACTGGGCCATGGTGATAGCGATACTGGGTGATGGTGATGCTGGGTTGTGGTGATGGTGATGCTGGTTGATGGCGATGGAGACACTGGGCCATGGTGATGGCGATGCTGGGCCATGGTGATGCTGGGCTGTGGCAATGGCGATGCTGGTTGATGGTGATGGAGATGCCGGGTGATGGAGACACTGGGCCATGGTGATAGCGATACTGGGCGATGGTTATGCTGGTTTGTGGTGATGGTGATGCTGGTTGATGGCGATGGAGACACTGGGCCATGGTGATGGCGATGCTGGGCCATGGTGATGCTGGGCTGTGGCAATGGCGATGCTGGTTGATGGTGATGGAGATGCCGGGTGATGGAGACACTGGGCCATGGTGATAGCGATACTGGGCGATGGTTATGCTGGTTTGTGGTGATGGTGATGCTGGTTGATGGCGATGGAGACACTGGGCCATGGTGATGGCGATGCTGGGCCATGGTGATGCTGGGCTGTGGCAATGGCGATGCTGGTTGATGGTGATGGAGATGCCGGGTGATGGAGACACTGGGCCATGGTGATAGCGATACTGGGCGATGGTTATGCTGGTTTGTGGTGATGGTGATGCTGGTTGATGGCGATGGAGACACTGGGCCATGGTGATGGCGATGCTGGGCCATGGTGATGCTGGGCTGTGGCAATGGCGATGCTGGTTGATGGTGATGGAGATGCCGGGTGATGGAGACACTGGGCCATGGTGATAGCGATACTGGGCGATGGTTATGCTGGTTTGTGGTGATGGTGATGCTGGTTGATGGCGATGGAGACACTGGGCCATGGTGATGGCGATGCTGGGCCATGGTGATGCTGGGCTGTGGCAATGGCGATGCTGGTTGATGGTGATGGAGATGCCGGGTGATGGAGACACTGGGCCATGGTGATAGCGATACTGGGCGATGGTTATGCTGGTTTGTGGTGATGGTGATGCTGGTTGATGGCGATGGAGACACTGGGCCATGGTGATGGCGATGCTGGGCCATGGTGATGCTGGGCTGTGGCAATGGCGATGCTGGTTGATGGTGATGGAGATGCCGGGTGATGGAGACACTGGGCCATGGTGATAGCGATACTGGGCGATGGTTATGCTGGTTTGTGGTGATGGTGATGCTGGTTGATGGCGATGGAGACACTGGGCCATGGTGATGGCGATGCTGGGCCATGGTGATGCTGGGCTGTGGCAATGGCGATGCTGGTTGATGGTGATGGAGATGCCGGGTGATGGAGACACTGGGCCATGGTGATAGCGATACTGGGCGATGGTTATGCTGGTTTGTGGTGATGGTGATGCTGGTTGATGGCGATGGAGACACTGGGCCATGGTGATGGCGATGCTGGGCCATGGTGATGCTGGGCTGTGGCAATGGCGATGCTGGTTGATGGTGATGGAGATGCCGGGTGATGGAGACACTGGGCCATGGTGATAGCGATACTGGGCGATGGTTATGCTGGTTTGTGGTGATGGTGATGCTGGTTGATGGCGATGGAGACACTGGGCCATGGTGATGGCGATGCTGGGCCATGGTGATGCTGGGCTGTGGCAATGGCGATGCTGGTTGATGGTGATGGAGATGCCGGGTGATGGAGACACTGGGCCATGGTGATAGCGATACTGGGCGATGGTTATGCTGGTTTGTGGTGATGGTGATGCTGGTTGATGGCGATGGAGACACTGGGCCATGGTGATGGCGATGCTGGGCCATGGTGATGCTGGGCTGTGGCAATGGCGATGCTGGTTGATGGTGATGGAGATGCCGGGTGATGGAGACACTGGGCCATGGTGATAGCGATACTGGGCGATGGTTATGCTGGTTTGTGGTGATGGTGATGCTGGTTGATGGCGATGGAGACACTGGGCCATGGTGATGGCGATGCTGGGCCATGGTGATGCTGGGCTGTGGCAATGGCGATGCTGGTTGATGGTGATGGAGATGCCGGGTGATGGAGACACTGGGCCATGGTGATAGCGATACTGGGCGATGGTTATGCTGGTTTGTGGTGATGGTGATGCTGGTTGATGGCGATGGAGACACTGGGCCATGGTGATGGCGATGCTGGGCCATGGTGATGCTGGGCTGTGGCAATGGCGATGCTGGTTGATGGTGATGGAGATGCCGGGTGATGGAGACACTGGGCCATGGTGATAGCGATACTGGGCGATGGTTATGCTGGTTTGTGGTGATGGTGATGCTGGTTGATGGCGATGGAGACACTGGGCCATGGTGATGGCGATGCTGGGCCATGGTGATGCTGGGCTGTGGCAATGGCGATGCTGGTTGATGGTGATGGAGATGCCGGGTGATGGAGACACTGGGCCATGGTGATAGCGATACTGGGCGATGGTTATGCTGGTTTGTGGTGATGGTGATGCTGGTTGATGGCGATGGAGACACTGGGCCATGGTGATGGCGATGCTGGGCCATGGTGATGCTGGGCTGTGGCAATGGCGATGCTGGTTGATGGTGATGGAGATGCCGGGTGATGGAGACACTGGGCCATGGTGATAGCGATACTGGGCGATGGTTATGCTGGTTTGTGGTGATGGTGATGCTGGTTGATGGCGATGGAGACACTGGGCCATGGTGATGGCGATGCTGGGCCATGGTGATGCTGGGCTGTGGCAATGGCGATGCCGTCCTCTTCCCAACCCTGGTCCAATATGAATTAAAAAAAAAAAAGGGTTTTGGTCAGCAACCTAACACTGCTTTGGCGCAGAAACGTTGCTTGCCAGCTCCCATCGTTTTCTCCTTCTCCTTCAATCCGCGATGAAGGGAAGGCTTTTGCCTTTTTTTGGTGTTTTTTGTACAATAGGTAAGCTATTTATGTATAATTCGTAACTTCAAACTACTGTCTAATAAATAAATTGTACCATTGTTCTTTGTCCCAGAGATTCATATTGCCTGGCTCCTCTGTCCCCCCCTCCCCAGGGCTTCGAGTGGGACCTGAAGGGAGCTCCCCTGGACCCGGGCGCCGAGCTCAACGTCGTTGTGAAGGACCATGAGACCGTGGGGAGAAACAGGTGGGAGAAGCGTTGGGTGCTGGGTGCCAGCCCCCTGCCCCGCTCCCGCCATGGGGGGTTGGAGCCAGATGGGCTTCAAGGTCCCTTCCAACCCATACCACCCTGTGATTCTATGGGGTGGGCGGTGAGGGGGGTCACAGAATCCCAGCATGGTGAGGGCTGGCAGGGACCCCT